GGCAGCGGACCACCTGCACTGGCCCAGGTTGGAGCGGCTGTCCTGTCATAAAGCCCCCTAAGATGTGATGTCACACACAGAGGGGCTGTATTCTGGACTCCTAGCCTTAGCGGCTCAGTGCCCTTCTCAGAGGAAAGGCGGGCAGGCTGCCTGAACACGGCCATGGTCGGAGGAAAGGTCAAGGTTGGCGTATTTGGTAAGTGGCTCAAAGCAGGAAGCATCCTAAGCAGGTGGAAATTGTCTTTGGGACTCCCAGCCTACCTTTGGGCTTCCCTTCCTACTTCGCCTGCCCCTCTCCTCTCCTTCAGGACTCACTTTCTGTCCTTCCCTTCTCCAAACCTCCGCTCAGAAAAAGCCTGAAAGCTTGGCCCACACTAGTTATACACATGACTAGCAAAGCTGATGCTGGAGACACCGCCAGCGGTATTCCCAGAGATGCCCCGGGGACCCCGGGGTGCTGTAGCGCCCTGCGGAGATGAAGTGAGCCAGGCCTGGAGGGGCCCCTGGATTTGGTGCCCAGGAGCATGTTGGTGACTTTGGTGAGAGAGGTTTCAAGAACTTGTGGGATCAGACACAGATAGAGGTGGGCTGTGGAGTGTACACGGCTCTCTCCAGGAGATCGTGTGAAGGGGAGGGGCCAGTTAGGACCCTCACTGAGAAGGGTTGTGGGTTCAGAGAGAGGGGCTTTTTTTTTTTAATGGAAGAGATGAGTGATGTGTTTAAATGCTGATGGGAAGGAGCCATTAGAGAAGGAAAGGCTGAATATATGAGAGAAGAAACCCCAAATGCCCAGGTTGTGAGAAGACCAGATAGACTGCAGCTCAGAGGGGGCGGTCTCAGAGGGGAGGGCAGCCCCTCCCTGGAGGAGGAATGGGCCTGTGAGAAGCAGAGAATGAATGGGAGGGTTTGGTGGCAGAAAGTGAAGGGAACTCGCATCTGGTGAAGGTTGAAATCTTTAGAAGGTTCTGAAACAGCCCCTGTGGAGAATGGGAGCTGCCTCGGGAAGCGGAGGCTCACTGGCCTCATCCAGGGTCCCGCTCACGTGGGAGACCTTGACTTGCCGTGGGGCCAGTTTGTAGGGAATGCTGACACTGGTGGGGGTTCCAGACAGAATAGTATGAGGAAGCTGGGGAATCGCACACAATGCTCCCCAAATTATTCCCCAAATGCTCTGTAACCCAGAAAATACTTTAAAGTATTTTAAATCATTATTATTTATGGTTATCATTCACCACCTACACCTGGAGACATTTTATATCAAATGTTCAATAGACCTGTACCTCTCTCCTTCGTCTTAGCCCACCCCCCTTTCCCCATTGTTTTCCCTGAGACCTCTCTTCCCAGCTCTGAGGCACGGAAACCATCTTTTGTTTGGAGCTCTTGGGAGAAATTTCTGAGCAGTTCCCAAGCTCCTGGAAGTCCCCCTCCTTAGTTGGACCAGCTGGCCGTGCTCTGGCTCAGCCTGGCCCGTGGAGGTCCTTGCTGTCCCCTGGCTGCCTCTGGCCTGTTGTGACTCCTGCAGACCACGGAGTCCAGGAACACTGGGACCCCAGGCCTGTGATGCCTTGACTGTTGCCTATCCTTTCTCCTTAGACTGAAAATGGTGTTTGGTATATGCTGCCAGAAGGAGAGGTAAAGTTAGGGTGCACCCTACTACCACGTCCCGAATGACCAGGCAGGGGAACCCCCACTTGGGCCCAAGAGGAAGGGAAAGCAGGGTTCTCTAATGTAAATATCTGATATGCAGGATGTATTTAGGCGACCCCTGTGAAAGGGTCGTTCGACCACCAATGGGGTCACGACCCACAGATTGAGAACCGCTGATTTTAGCAATGCCAAAATGCTCTGCTGTCCCAAGGGAGCGGTCACAGAAGAGGGAGGTGACCTGGAACATGATTTCTACCCCGGGTGTGGGATCTGTCAGTCCAGAGGAGGGAGGGCCTGGAGGGTCGCGGGAGAAGAGCTGACCCAGCACCGGATGATCACCTGTGAGGCCCAGGCAAGGTCAGGGCCTGCCTCTGGCTGGAGAGGCACGATGGGCTCGCATGTCCAGTGAGGAAGGGGAGACAGGGAGTGGCCGGGCTCCTTGTCTGCTCCAGGCGCCCAGCCTGGCTGTTGAAGGAGGCAGAGGCACAGAGTCATGCCAGCCCCTCAGCAGGGAGCCCGGGCTGAGCCCTGAGGCAGCTGAGGGATTTCCTCACCCACAGTGGTGAAGGGACACAACCGGTAGGACAGGCCCTGGATTGGGGGGAAGCCGGTACCCACTGGGGAGGGCAGGGGAGACCCCGCCTCACACTCACTCTGCTTTCCTTCCAGGCTCTACAGGGCCCTGTACGTAGTGCAGATCTTCATTCTTGCAGGTAAGGCCTGTGCTGGTGATTGGGGAGGACGTCAGGACCCGGGAGTTGGCTCTTCCCTCAGAGCCCCCAGCCTCCAGCTGCCCAGCGGGGCTCCCCAAGGCCTGGCTCCCCAGGGGCTGGCCGCCTTTCTCCATGTATCCCCTCTGCACCCTCAGGGTGGAGTGGCGCTCAAACCCATGTCTAACTGTGAAGCTCATTCTCTGCACCCCGCAAAAATACACACAGAACCCGCAAACCAAAAGCCCACACAACCTAATACAGTCCTACCACAATGACTTTCAAATTTTTGCTTGTATACCTTTTCAAAGACTTCATCGCCTCACACATTTTAAATTAGTACCTAATTGATTTCACGGTGTCAAGGGATATGACACTTTAAAATAATGACATCTCTGTTCAGTGCTCTAACTAGTCTTCCTTCACCCATTTGCAGGAATGGTATACTATTACTTCCAGGAGTCTGTGGGGAAAACACCTCCAGACCATGCGATTGCTGGGGAATCATCACCGGTAGGCACCTCGCTCAGTCCTACAGGCTGGGATGGGCTCCCTGGGGTCATACTGCTTGCCCTCAAATGGTCAACTGTGTGTGTGTGTGTGTGCACGCGCCTGCGTGCCCAGTGTGGATTCTAGAGTAATTTGCTATTTTCGCAGAGTCAAAACATAAGCCCCGCCCCTCATGAGCTGGCTGTATGGTCACTTCAGGGTTGTGTGGCAGTGGCCTGGGTAACCCAAAGGAGCAGGTGATCCTGATGCATGTGCGAGCCCTGGAATGTGGTTCGACCCTCATGTGAGCAGCGTGGTGCTGAGCAGGACTCCTGCCTGGGGCTGCACAGCCCCTCTGATGTCCCAAGTCCAAGAACCTGTGGCAGAGCCCCCTCTCCCAGCCCCGGTCAGAGCACAGACGGATGCTGGGTCCACTGAGGCGCTGCACACCTCGAGTGGGAGCCCTTGGTGGGACGCAGCCTCGGGGCTCCGTCACGGGCGGCCTTGTGATGTTACATGTCTGAAAGGCCTCCGCCCACACTCGGTGAGCGAGCGGCTGGGCATGGAATTCTAGACTAGAAATAACTTTCCCGCCGATTCTGAAGATCCTCATTGCCTTCTGGCTTCAAATGTTGGTGTTTAAACGTGTGATGAAATTGAATCTTAGAACAGACGTTTTCCTGTGAATCTCTGGAAGCGTGTTGGTTCTTCTCTGTGTCCTCAGTATTCTGAAATGGACTGAAGGCATCTAGGGTGGGTTTTCCTCATCCATTGTCATGGACACTTGGTGATTCCTTCTGTCCTGAAAACTCCTGTCCCTCATCTTTGGGAATTGTCTTGATAAAAAGGAATGTACGCCCAGGGCAGGTGTGTCTCAGTGGTTGAGGGTCGACTCATGAACCAGGAGGTCACGGTTCGATTCTTGGTCAGGGCGCATGCCTGGGTTGCGGGCTTGATCTCCAGTAAGGGGCATGCAGGGCAGCTGGTCGATGATTCTCTCTCATCATTGATGTTTCTCTCTCTCTCTCCCTCTCCCTTCCTCTCTGAGATCAATAAAGAAATATTTTAAGAAGACTTTTAGAAAAGAATGTACTTAGAATGTCTCCTGTCACCCCCGCTTGTTGCCTCTGCTCACTTTCAGGAAGATCCCTGGTTTAGCTGTTGGTCCTCCTGATATCCTCTCTGTTCTTGCTGGGAAATGCTTTTTTCAACTTTATCTTCTGGACTTTGATTGGGTTTTCCATTCCCATAATCATATCACAGTTTGGGTTTCAAGCTTTAGAGGTTGATATTTGAACGTTTCTGTTTTAGAGCCTGTTCTTGTTCCGTTCATGAGCTCAGTTTATCTTCCTAAAGGCATCAGTCATGCTGAGGTTCCCTAAGTCCGTGGGGTCTTTAGGGGTCCGTGCTGCCCACTAACAGTCACCTCAGCTGTGCCCTCAGCCGCCTCCCTTCTCTCTCTCCCTGTCATGCAGTCCATAGGAGAGACCATGAGGCCACTGTGGGGCCTGATGGATAAGTGCTACCCTGTGGCCATTCAGGTGGGTAAGACTGGAGACTCTTCTTCCCCGAGGGGGGTGGCTGTCTGGGCACCCTGTCCTGGGTAGACACCGTGAGAGGCAGGGCAGGTGGGCGTGGGAGGGGGCGACTCCCAGCAAGCATGACTGTTTCCCCCTGTAGAGACGCAGAGTCAGGAGTGGGGAGAAGCAGGCCTCCAAGGTAAGAGGCCTCTCTGGAAGGGTCCGGATGGGGCTCTCCTGTCAGCTCCACGAGGCCCAGGGTGCCTGGCTCAGGGCCTGCAGGCCCAGGGGTGGGGGCAGGGTCCCTCCAGGAAACTCACGGCCCCGCCACCCCACCTCTGGAGCTGATAGGGAAGGACTTCCCTGGAGAAAGAATGAACTGTACGCACCCCAAGTGTGGGAAATGGGAGGGTTGAGGCGTACTGGGGGCCTCCCGGCCTGTGTGATGCCCACTTCTCTCTTGGCAGGCCACAGCCCCTGAGACTCCGGGAGGACTGAATGATGCTGCCCCCAAGGAGGAGACGGACATCCTGTCTCAGGGGGAGAAGGACCCGGAGGGGGAGGGGAGGGTCCCAGGCCAGGGAGCAGCCAGCCCCACTCCTGCTGGGAAGGAAGTGGCTGGGGAGAAGGAGGTGGCAGGGAGCCCAGGCTGGGAGGTAAGGAGGCCTGGTGCCCCAAGCAGTGCTGGGCGGTGGGCAGGCTGTGGGGATGGAGAGGGGGCTGGGGCACCCCCAACATGACGGGGCCAAACCGCATCTCAGTAGAGCAGCTCTCTGTGGAGCTGAGGGGAGCAGAGGCGGTGGGAGTCCTGGCCTCCCTGACTTCTCCTGTAGCGAGGCCTCAGTTTCCCCATCTACACTGTAGAGCCTGTCTCATCCCCCCATGCCCTTCTTTCCCAGGGAGCTAAGAAGGTCCCAAAGGAGCTGGCTCTACCTCCTTCTGGTAAGAGAGCCCAGCCCACCCTGCCTCCCTCCCTCTGCTCTGTGACCCTGAGGAGCCCCCAGGAGCCCCCACCCTCCTGGCCCAAGGAGGGAAGGCCAGGCAGCCCCGAAGGAGCCTCCTTAGCCCACTCCCCAGGGACGTGGATGGGAGGAACCCTGGTGTCAGTGCTGCCCCATCAGATCGCGCTGCCCTGGCCCTGAGGAAGGGTTCCTCCGGCAGGCGACCTGCAGGGCCTGCCTCCTCGTGTTTGTAGGGGCCTCTGGGGTGCAGAGCCAGGAGGACAGGCCCGGCGGGCGGGCCCCCCAGCTCCTGAGGAAGCTCTGGCTGGGCTGGTTCCCGGTCTCTGACAGCCCTGACCCTCAGGAGCACGAGTGACAGCCCAATAAACGCACAGAGGATGCCCTGCGGCCCCGCTGCCTCCTCGCAGGCCTCACGCCCTGCAGACCCAGTGTGGCCCGTGTACACTGTCCAGCAAGCACCACGCCTGACTCGGTAGTGGGTACTCTGGGGAGGCCGAAGGGGCCCTGCTGACCTGGGCTCCATGTCAAGGGACAGGCCAAGCTCCCTGCATGCGGGGAGCGGGGTAGCTTGTGATGAGGGCATCTACAGGACACTGGTGGGACCCGTGAGGGGTGCCGTGAGGGTGTTGCATTGGGGGCTTCTGCCCTGAGCATCTGGGGTCCCTAAGCTGTTCACTAAATGCACAAGGGTCCTCCCACGACCTGAGTAAGCCATCATTAGAAGCCCTTGGGCGCTGCCCGTGGGCTCCATCCAGGCCCCATCTGGGAGTGGACACAGGTGATGGGTGGCAGGCAATAATGTCACAGCCCAGCATCAGCGCAGGAAGTCGGGACCCAGCGGCCATCTGGTGCACTCTCCTCGGTGGCTGCAGGGAAATAGAAGCCCAGGCCCACACAGTGGTGTGATAACAAGGACTAGAGTCAGGCTGTCATCCTCCAAGGTCCCTCTGGGGCCTCCTTTCTTGTGGCTACTGCATTGTGGCAGGGGTCGAGGTTTGACCCCTGTCCGGGCGACATCTCTGCAGCCCAGAGGGGCCCATTCCTTGCCCCCAGCTCAGCCTCCTGCGCACCCTGCCTGGCCTGGCCACTCTGAGGACTGTGCCCGGGGTTGGAGCCCACATGAGTCTCCCCAGCTGCAGCCGGCCCAGGAGACAGCTCTTTCCAGCAGCAGCTGGGCCAGGAGCAGACCTGAGGGGCCAGGGAATGCGGCTAATTCAATGTTGGGGTGACCCAGAGGCCCAGGGAGGGGCTGGCTCCTGGGCTGCCATCAGGGTTCCCAGGGAGAGCTCTGCACCCCATTACTGAGCCTGGTCGTTAACCTGGCACATCACTTCCCAGCCTTCCTGAGTTCCCCACCTTTTGGGGTGTCAGTGGGGGAACAGACTTGCTGGTGTTGGCGGAGCTGCTGCCTGTGGTGCAGGGCGGGTGCTGCTGGGCCTGAGAGTCAGCATCAGGCTGAGCGAGGTCCCCCTTTCCCACGGGGCCAGCAGGGGCTGGGGCCTGTGCAGAGACTGGGACCCACAAGCAGCCAGTATGGGGCTCCACAGGCGACTGGGGTCAGCTCTCATTTTCTGAGCCTCAGTATAGCGCCTCTCAAATGGGCCCCAATGCGAGGTGAGGAGGGACAAGGCAGGCCTGGCCTGGGAGGTGCTGAGGCCCCATCGCTGCCAGGATGGTTAAGGGGCCTGGGTGGGACTCAAAGTAAGGCTGCAGCCACCAGGCTGGTTTATTGTACATCAGGGCTCCCAGCTGAGGAGCGGCTGGGGTGTGTCCCCCTCTAGCGGGGCACAGCACAGAGCTGGTAGGGGGGTGGGGCCACCAGGAGGCCATAGGTCCCATGGTCGCTGGGGCGGGGCTGCCCAGCGGGCACCGAGAAGCTGAAGCGCTGCAGGAGGCAGGTGAAGAAGAGGAAGAGCTCCATGCGGGCCAGGGGCTCCCCGAGGCATGAGCGGCGACCTGTGGGTGGGTAGGGGGTGAGGCATGAGCCTGTGCCTGGGCCCTATGCCTCCAGGCTCCCTCGGGTGGGACAGCAGGCTGGGCCCCCACAGGCACCTGCTGAGAAGGGCAGGAAAGCAGCCTGTTTGACGAAGCGGCCCTGGGCGTCCAGGAAGTGCTCGGGGTGGAAGCGCAAGGGCTCCTTCCAGGCGGTCTCGTCCTTCAGCACTGACGACAGGTTGGTGATGAGCGTGGTCCCCTGGCAGGAGACACCTCACATGGGTGGATCTGGGTGGGGGATGCCGGGACTCCTGCCACCAAACTCACGGGCGCACACTGTCTGGACCACGCCCGCCCAGGCCAGCCCCTGACCCCGTGGGGCCCAGTGACATGCCTCTCATGGGGCCTCCCTGCCACCCATCCCTGAACCCAGGGGCTCCTCCAACACTTGAGCTTGTCTTCCCAGCCAGCGGGGGCCCTCCCTCTGCGCTCACCCCCACGGCACTCGGACGGGACAGTCAGTGCTGGGCAGTGAGCGGGGCTAGGGTCCCGGTCAGTGGCCATGTCAGAGCACAGGTGGTGGGTGTGACTGAGCGGGCGTGGGGCGGCCCCAGGCCTACCTTGGGGATGAGGAAACCCTGCAGTTCAATGTCGCGCGAGGTCATGTGGGGCACGTTCAGGGGGATGATGTCCCCAAAGCGCTGCACCTCGTGGACCACAGCCATGGTGAAGGGCATGCGGGCCTGGTCCGCCATCTCTGGTCGCCGCGCTTGCCCTATTGTCTCATCGATCTCCTTTTGGACCCGGTCTGGACAGGCAAGCATCCCTTCAGGGGTCAGGGCCCGGAGGTGGGGGTGGGGTCTGGGCTCTGGCCTATGAGGGGGTGAATCGGGGGCTGGCCCATGTGGAGAAGGAAGTCACTCTGACCTCAGAGTCAGGACCCAGCCTCTGCGTAGCCAAACTCAGCTCAGGGACCATAGCTGACCCTTTCCTGCCTCCCCCATCCCACCCGACCCCCAGGCCAGGCTCACGCTGCACATCCGGGTGCAGGATCATGAGCAGGAGGGCCCAGGCCAGTGTGGTCGAAGTGGTCACCATCCCCGCAGAGAACAGGTCAGCCACCACCATGCGCAGGTTCTCACTGTTGAAGCTGCTCCTGGGGTCCTCCTTGGCCTGGCCATGCAGAGGGCGGGCAAAGGGGCAGAGGGAGGGAGCCCTCCAGTGGCCCCCCCAGTACACCCAGCAGCCTGGGGGCCCAACCCCTGGGCTTACCTCATGGCACCACCCACAGCCCCCGCCCCCATCCCTGGCAGCTGCCCCTCACCTTCTCCACCTCATCCAGGAAGGCGTCAGTCAGGTCTCGGGGTGGCTGGGCTGGGTCCCGGGTCATCTTGTGCTCGGCGAGCAGCTCGTCCAGAAGAGCCATGAAGGCCCTCTGCCCCTTGAAGACCTTGGCAGCCAGCCCCGGGATGCGCAGCAGCACAGGGACCGATTCCAGCACCTGGACGGGCACAGGTGTGGGTCCGGGGCGGGCCTTCCAGCGCCCAGGTGTCCTCTGGACAAGTCAGGGCCCCAGGACTCCCCCACCTTGCCCAGGAGTCCTGGCTCCTGCTTCACCGCGCCCTCCATCAGGTCCATCAGCTTGAGGAAGCGCGGGTCCTCGTACTCGAAGCGGCGCCCATATATGAGGGAGGAGATCAC